TGCATAAGCGGCAGTTAAGGCTTGAATTCCCATCTTTTGACTCCAAGTCCGAATGCTGTTCTGCTCAGAGCCATCACTAGGGATTTTTCTGTACTTGGGGCAAACGGTCAGCATTGTGCTCTCAGCTGGAGCTGAGAAGGCAGGCATCCCAAGGATCCTTGTACAAGGTTGTGGGGGTGGGGGAGCTCATTTCTGCCTACCATCTGGTAGCTTCCTAGTTTAACTCATTATTCATGTTAAATAGATGCTAAATTATGTTGTTTCTGTCATGCTGAAGGACTTCTGAGTACTGTTGGTGCCCTGGGGCCAGACTCCTATTACCCTGCCTTGTTAATAATAACCACAATAGTGGCTAGTACTTATGTAGTGCTTAAAGATTTACCAAGAATTTTACATATTAATTCAGATCATCACAACGACTCTGTGAGAGAGGGCCTATCATGACCCCATTTTGCAGATAAGGAATTTGAGGTAAAGAGGGATGATGTAACTTGCCAGGGTCACCTAGCTAATGCTATTTGATCATTACAACAACCTTATCAGGTAGGTGCTACCCCCAGATGAGGAAAATGAGGCACGCAGGGTGAAGTGACTTGCCCAGGGTCACACAGCTAGTAAGTGTCTGAGGTCGGATTTGAACTCAAGATGAGTCTTCCTGACTCTAGACCTGGCACTGTATCTACTGTGCTACCTAGCTGCCTGTAACTAAAACACATTCAATCCTATGGTACCATCTCTAAGCCTGCTTCTTGTCTGACAGCTGACCTGTCACTCACCTGGCCAGGACCTATATACAAACATGTTGCGTTATCGTGGCAACCTCCAACGTTGGGGAGCAAGCAGCTGTTAATTGCTGTGCAGTCCCTTCCGTCCCCAGTCCATCCAGGTTGGCAGACACACATGTGGGTTCCTGTGCCAGTTTTAACACATTCTGCCTGTGGAATCGAACAAGACAAAACAAAACCCACTAGAAGCTTTGGCGTGGTCATAGGGATAGGGACAGGATCCATGATTTCACTGGTACAGGGAATTCCAGGTAAGAAAACTCTCTCTACCAACATATGTTGGTGACTTAGATCCATAGAGTTGCCTAGGGCATTGAGGGGTTAAGTGACTGTCCCAGGGTCATGTAGACAGTAAATGTCATGGGAAGGACTTTAAATCAAGTCTTCCTGGCTCTAAAGCAGGGCTATATCCACTGCAATATTTCCCCTCTGTCGTCAGGCTCTTGTGGCTCAAAAACAAACAAAAAACAAACCCCAAGACCCGGAAATCCCACCTTGCTCTCTTCTCTGTCCCACCCCCTACAACTTCCAACCCATACATGAGATAAAGCCAAATTCTCACATTGCTACTGCAGCCTCCTGGGATGATTCCTGCACAAGGGTCTACTTCTGTACAAGTGGTCCCGTCACCTTCGTATCCTTGTTTGCAGATGCAGCTGAAAAACAGGATTGCACTCAGATATGGAATCAGAGGACAGTCCTTGGTAGTCATATGCCCCAAACTCCCACCGAGCCCAGGAAATGCCCCCACAGAATGGGTTATACGAGCCTGAACATCTCCAATTGTGAATTGCCTTCTTTGGAAGCATCTTGTTGCATTTGGGGGTATTTCTATGAAAGTTTTTACTAAAAATGAGTTGAACTTGCTTCCCTCTCCTTCTACCGGTGACCAATATCTACTCCCATTCTGATATGTTAGCTCTTGAAATATACAAAAAGACAATTGTCATATTTTCCCTAAATCATCTCTTTAAAAAATTAAGAAACTCCCAGTTCTAATTTTCACATGACATGGTTCCTAGGCCGTTTGCCACTCTGCTAATCTTCTAATCTGCTAATCTACACATAATTCTATTTGCAGATATCCCCCTTAAAATGTGATAGCCAGAGAATAGAACAAAAGATCCAGGGACATTCTGACCAAGGCAGAGTATAATGGGACTGTTACCTTCTTTGAATCGGACACTTACTGAAAGAGGAATTCTTTCCAGGAAACATTTCTAATATATTTCATAGTAAAAAGGAAGGGTATGGTGACCCATTCAGCCCAGCTTTAATTTGCTGAACAAGGCTTTAACGGCTACAGAAAGCAAGAGTTTCTGAAGAAGTTGGAATTGGAGAGGCAGTCGGAGAACCATCATTTTCATTCTCTAAGAGACAATGGCGATGTTAGTTAAGAATATATTCATTTGTAAAACTCACAAAAGAGGATAGAGGGAAATTATGACTTACACTGCCTTACAAAATAGTGAGAAAAAAACAAGTTTAAAGATATTTTGGCCAAAGATCCAACTAACCAAAATCATTCTGAGGATGTTTAATGATGAAAACATAAAGAGGATAGCAAACAAAAAAAAATGGAAAAAATTTGTAAAAAACAAATAAAATGCAAAAGCTCTTTTCACTATCAAGGACAATGAATCCATCCCATTTGGACTGTGATATTATAGACTGAAATGTGGTACATGAAAAGTGGATATGGAAGAAAGTAGAAGAAGGATGGAAAGAATAGCTGGATTGGGCCAAGTAGAGAGAAGGTGATGCAATTCTGAGGGCACAGATCATTGATTCTTAATATAGCTGAAAGAAAGCAAGGTGCCAAGGACTTGGAATGAGTTTAAGTCATTATCACCTCCCTTCCTAATCCTTAGCAAAAAAGGATGATCAAGAAAATATAGTTGTTTATTCTCGAAGAGGACCATGACATCAGGAAGATGATGACATGACTTGAAAGTGAATTGGATGTAGGTGAGGGAGGGCTGTGTAAGGTCACCAGTCTCATTTTCTCCTCCAGAGCCAACTGGGTCCAGTTGCAAGATATACATCAGGATGGCTGGAAACGGCCCCCTACTTGACATGCACATTCTTGCTGAAGTGATGACAATGACTTCCTCATTGGTGGTCCAGAGACAAAAGCGCCCCACTAAAGGAAGGGCAGCAAGAGAGGGCATTTCTATCAAAGTCTTTTACAAAGATCCACCAGCTCCCATTTTATCCAGAAGGTATTTGTGGTTAAGAAGAGCATTGTTTTCATCCTCTATTATTTCTGTCTGATTCCAGAACCAAGTCCAAGGCTCAGCTCTCTAGGGAGTCGTCATATACGGGGAGTCCCCAAAGTCCTGGCACAGCCTTCAGATACACTAATTTTTTTGGGGTACCCTGTATATTAACCTGATGATCATGGGATCAGGGGCTTATTAGACATGAATACCGGTATGTAAACAGTCTCTCTTATGGGCTGTCCTTAAGAGAAAGCTAAAATCTCTGACTGAGGCAATCTGGTTTAAAAGGAAGAGAAGCATTGGATGAAAATTTAAAATGGGTATTTTTGAGCCTGGGGAAAATCAAGGAGGGAATCCTTTCCCTTCTGTCCTATAAAACACATGTAAAGAGTTAGAGTTAGGATAATGTTTCCTCCAAGGCAGATGATCATTCATCTCCAACAGGGTGACAAGCCTTTCCTAATTTAGCCAGGCTGGTCCTCAGGTGACAGACAAGAAATTCATCAACAGAGGAAACTTTTTCAGCCTATCAGAGTTTGTATTCTTTTATCAAAGTCTTCAAGAATCCAAAAGACTAAAGTAGAAATCAACAACAACAATACACTTCCTTCTTTTTTTGAGGGGTGGTGGAGAAAAGAGGCTTTAGGGGGCAACTAGGTTTAGGTGACCCAGTGGATCAAGCACCAGCTCTGGAGTTGGGAGGACCTGAGTTCAAATCTGGCCTCAGACACATAATACGCACTTAGCTGTGTGACTCTGGGCAAGTCACTGAACCCCAATGGCCTCAGCAAAGGAAAAAAAAAGAGGCTTTATAATTCCAAGAGGAAAGAAGATAGGGGTCTTCTCAGCAAAAAGGATGATCGTGTAAATGTAAACAAATATCAACCCACATGCTTACTTTCTCATCTCAATAAATCTTTATGAGAAACACATATATACATTGAAGGCATTCTTGATGAAGGGAGGTTTTAAAGTACAGAAAAGAGGCTTGGAAATAAAGTTCTATAATCAATTAAAAGGTAGAAATTAAATTTAAATTATAAATGAAATAAGTTAAGAGGCATTAATTAGTTAATTAATGAAAAGGTATAAAAAATTCGGAATCCCATCCCATTTGTGCTTGTTGGTAGTTCATAAAAAAAGCATTTGTTTTGTCATAGTAAAATATTCTCTTAAAGGTCTTTCTCCAGTTGGGAGTCTCCTGTGTATGTGTCAGAATTATGCAAGATTCCTTTTGAGATGTTAACAACTGAGATGGTTTTGTTTGATGATGATTAAGAGGCACAACATGGGAAAATCCATATTCTTCAGGGTTTGTTAGCAGTAGTGTGCTGGCAAATGTTTAACAACCGGCTTTCTTAAAAAAAGGCAGGCAAGGCACACTTTTAAGTTTAATCCACATTATTAACATTTTCTCCATCACTTTCTTAAGTTTAGATAATCAACAAAACAATAATTCAAGCTCTGACTTGTAGCATTTGCCAATTACCAAGGTGTAAATGCTCGCATGGAAATTTAACAATTGGCTCTCTAAAGAAAGTTCAAGTTGGCTGGTGTAGTCCCTATTGTGGAAGTTATCCAGCACAGAGTCCAAATGGATGGGGGATTTGCTATAGGAGGTCGGATCCCCTAAAGGCTCCTGTTTGCTGATGACATTATGTTGAGGGCATCATGCCCTGGAATATTGCAAAGTATCTTAAATGAAATCCATTAATGTTTAAGAGTTTGACTTAACAATCCGCATGGGAAAAACCAAGTGGATGAATGATGCATATTGTCCAGACAATGGTATATAGTTGAAGTGACAACATATAGAACTAGCAAGTTACTACATAAATATTGGACAGACATTGAACATAATTAATAACTCTGTTCCAGAATTGGACAGAAGGAAGAGAGCAGGATGGATTGTTTTAAGGAAAATATACAATGTTTTTAATGATTCCCAGCTTCTTCATGAAACAAAGGGGCTTTTATCTTAATTTAATTCTTTTAAAATATGGAATGCTTCACAAATGTGTGTCATCCTTGTGCAGGGGGCTATGTTAATATTCTCTGAATCATTCCAATTTTAGCATATGTGCTGCCAAAATGAGCACAGGTAAGAGTATATTGTATAGAGAGTATATCATATAGCATATTGTACCAATGTATAAGATTATAGATCAATGAACAAAATATCAGTATATTTACTTTTATTAATAATAGTTGCTAGCTAATGTTTATATAGGTTTTTAAGGTTTGGAAACAGCTTTCAATATACTATCTTATTTGATACTCCCAACAATCCTGTGAAATAGGTGGCATTACTATTCCCATTTTACAGATGAGGAACCTGAGCCTGAGAAAGGTTGAATAACCTGCTCAGGGTCACACACCTAGGAAGTATCTCAGGCAGGATTTGAGCTCAGTTTGTCCGGATACCAAGTCCAGCAGTCTATTCACCTAGCTGTCTCAGATATTAAAATCTTTGTGATGATGGAAAATAAGTCCCTCTTCTTTCTGGGCCTAATTTTACTCATATTTAAAGGGCAAATCATCTTTCTTCACTGGTCCTCAAGTTACTCATCTGTAAAATGAAATACCTAGCCTTCAAAGACCCCTTCTAGCTCTGAACTATGAGAAGTTCCTTAGGCGATGAGTCCACCCTTGATTGTTAAAAGATAGCTGTCTTACCTGGCAACTCCACTGCTGTATTCACAGTTTGCACGGATATGACAGAATTGGACATAGGGGCCACATGCTGTGGTTTGCTTATCACAGAACTTTCCAGCTGATCCATCCTTACAGGTTCCAGGAAGGCAGGCCCCATCACCATCTACTCGATTATCACACTTCCCATGAACACATAGACATTCTAGAAGACAAGGGAAATTGGGGCTCAGTTTTGGGGGTACAATCTAAACTCTGATCTGGTGTCATAGAAGACAACTACATGAGCCATGAAGATGGCCCAGAGTGATTTTTTTCATCAATTGACATAGTACAGGTTTATCCAAAAGTGAGTGGAAAACAGAGAAGAGATTGGTAACCTACCCTAGTTAGGTAGGGAATATTTATATCCTATCCTTTTCCTCTTTCCTTATCAGTTACAGTTGCTTTAAAGAAACTTACAATATCAATAAGTTAAGTCTTAGCAATGAATGGAACTGAGGATCTTATTTTGGACCCATGCCAGCATCTCTTTTAAAAGAAAGTCTTTTTTTTTATGCCTTTTTCTGTCTTAAAATATTGTTGATTTCCTATGACACCTCTTTTCCCTCTCTCTATCCCACCACACATACCTGAGCTTTTCCTTGAAACAAATAACTTAACTAAGATCACAGATTACTTAATTGGTTCACAGTCAAAGCAAAACAAATCTATATATTGGCCATGTCTGAAAACATATGCCTACTTCAGCACCCATTGTTCACAATGTTTACCTGTTTGCCAATAGGAAGGAGGCATGCATCACCAGCAATTTCCAGGGTGGTTTCCTATATTTTACTCATTACTTAGTACATGGCATATTTTCCTGTCATATGTGAGAAAAAGGTGGATGTATGGCTAATTTTCTGGGGGGTGGGGGTGGGTGGTGGACATCTGATCCTATGAAAGATGCCCAGAAGGATAAGAAGCAGTATGGCATATATAACAGAAAGAGCTTTGGATCTGGAAACCAGAGGACAGGTGTTTGAATCTCAGCGCTTATACTAGCTGGGTAACCTTGGTCAGATATCTGTGCCTCAGTTTCCTCATCTATAAAATGAGAGAGTTGGACTTGATCCCAGAATTTCAGAGTTTAAGGGACCTCAGTGGTCATTTACTCAATTTGAATCTGAAAAAGAGTCTACAACAAACCCGATGAATGGTTATCCAGCTTTCAAATGACCTCAAGTGAAAAGGAAGCTATCTTCCTCACCAGTAGCCCATCCCACTTTGAGACAACTCTCATTGTTTTAGGAACTTTTTCCTAACAGGAAGCCTAAATTTATCTATTTGCAACTTTCATTTTTTTTCTTGTTTTGCCCTCTGGGGCCAAGCTGAATAAATCTAATCTCTTTGTACCTCCTTAGGTGCTAGGGATACAAAGACTGAAAAAAAAATAAACAGACCAATCCTTGCTCTAGGAGCTGGAAGAAAACAACACATAAATATAAATAGAAGTTAACAGAAATAAATACAAAATAAATTTTGGGTGGGAGGGCACTAACACCTGCAGGAAGGAGGAAAGTCTTCTTGTAGGAGATGTAAGCTAAGTCTTGAAGGTAGGCAGGGGTTCCAAGTGGTGGAGATGAGGAGGGACAACATTCTAGGTCTTGAGACCATTGTCAAGGGAAAGAGAAGAGGGCATCCAGTGAGAGGAGCCAATCCCATGATGATTCTTAAAGAGGGGCTTACAAATCTTTGAAAAGGTAAAAATTCATTGGAAAGGAGTAAGATTCAAATATGGACACGAGCCCAACATGTGTATGTATAAATGTATGCATATATGTATATTTGCCATTTGGTCGTTTCAGTTGTGTCCTACTCTTTGTGACAGCATTTAAGGTTTTCTTGGAAGAGATACTGGAATGGTTTGCCATTTTCTTCTCCAGCTCATTTTACAGATGAGGAAACTGAGGCAAACAGGGTGAAATGACTTGCCCAGGGTCACACAGCTAAGAATTGCCTGAGACTGCATTTGAACTCAGGTCTTCTTGACTCTAGGCCAAGCACTCTATCCACCATGGTACCACCTAGCTGCCCCTTCATTTTACACCAAAGAAAGCAGAGGCTTACAGAGGCCAAGTGACTTTTCCTGTGGTTATTCCGGAGCCAGTTAGCCCACGAGCATTTATTAAAAACATTTATTTTGTACCCAGCATGGTATTTAGTGCTAAAGATATAAAGAAAGGCAAAAATCATGGTGCCTGCCCTCAGGGAGCTCCCATTCTAATGGGGGAGACAACAGGCAAACAAGTATGTACCTCAAAATATTTCAAATAAGAGCTGATATTTATAACGGCTTTAAGGTTTCCAAAACTCTTTATAACTCTTTATATTTATATTACTTAGGCTTCCTAATAACCCTGTGAAGTAAATACTTTTGTTGTCCCTATTTTAGCAACTTATCAAATGAGCTAATAATAATGACAGTTATAAATTTAAGCTAATAATAACAATAATAATAATTTTTACACAGTGCTTTAAGGTTTGCAAAGCACGACAATCCTGGGAGGTAGATGCTATTATCCCCATTTCACAGATAAGGAAACTGAGGCAGAAAGTGGTTAAATGACTTGCTCAGGGTCACACAGCTGGTAGGAAAAGCACTGGACTTAGAGTCAGAGGGCCTAGATTTCAATCCTGGACGTGGTTAAGTGATTTTCCTAGAGTCACATAGCTAGTAGCTATTTGAGGTAGGATTTAGAACTTCAGTCTGCCAACATTGCATGCCACCAAGCTAAAGGCATGTTGACAAGGAATTTTGGACAATGATAAGCTGATACTCCACCAACATCACCTCTTCATTGAGGCTATAAATAGCATGGGATAAATCAAGTCTCATAAAGGTAACGAAGTGGTCCCTAAATTAAGGGATGACTTACTTTTTTCACACTGGGGTCCGTATTTCCCAGGATTGGAGCAGAATTGACAGTGAGAGCCTTGGAATCCGTCATCACAAATGCAAGTCCCATTGCCACTGAGCCCATCAACACACTGTAACAAGAACAGGCTCTTTGGTAAGTCAACATCACCCAGGGAAATATTCCCTAGGCAACTTGACTTTTTGACTTAACTTTGTCACTCCACAGGGTGCTATTTCTAGAACTTGGTGTGATATTGAATCTCAAGAAAGAGGAAGTCACATTCATTGCTTGTTGAGTATTTCTCAAACTAGGGTTTAGGACTTTACAGGGACTCATGGGAGAAATACTCAGGGGGCACAAGGAAAACCTAGAAGTTATAAATTGCTTTTGTCACCAAATAAACCCTGGGTCATAGGAGTCTAGGGTGAGTGCTAAAAGGGCTAGAAGGCCATCTAGTTCAACCCTCTCATTTTATAGATAGGAAAACTCAGGCCTAGGGAGGTCATGGGGCTCATAGATTTAGAGCTGGAAGACACTTTGGAGGCCACCTGCTTTGACCCTCTCATTTTACAAGTGAGGAAATGGGGCTCACGGATGTTAAGTGATTTTTCCCAAGGACGCACAGCTAATAAATTTCAGAGGCTGAATTTGAACTCAGATCTTCTTGTTTTCTATTCTAGTATTCTATCTAAAATCCACTTTTTGGCTTCTATGCTTACATTTCTTTCCCTTTTTTCCCTTCTAACACTTAAAATTTGTTTGGATAGCAAGAGAGAAGTTGAAATTACAGCTCTCTCCTTGGCTTTTTGCTGGAAGAGTTACGTTAGTTGTTGTCCTTAGCTCTCAAAGAGGACCAAAATGACATTACTATGTTGGGGTCAAGGTACAGTGTGTCCGACTATGGCTGATCAGACTGATATGAACTCAGAAGGCTCTACCATAGGTCAGGCACAAATAGTCCATATTATACGTTTGGAGTGGAGATGTTTCTAAATTTGTACATCTCTCATAGAAAAGATACATATGTACCGTACAAACCGTAGACCTGTTTCCTTTTCTCATTGTGCCCTACCACCCCTTTCCCCTCCCTTTCCTTTCCCTCCTCTCCAATCTCTTTCCACCCCTTGTCACCTGTCCATTTCCAGAACATGGATTGGAGAAACCTCCTGGACACTGGTTACAGTCTGGACCGTAGAAGCCTTTGCAACACTTGGGTATCTGAGAAACACAATTCTGTTTTTATTTTTCAGTCTATAAAACCAAACTCAGCTCTCCGTTTGCTTGTTCAAAGATGTGATAAGTCAATTATTACAAATGATGAGATCCCCTCATTAACCATCTTCTTTCTTTCACAGAGGACAGAGAGTTTTTTCAGGGTTCAGTACTGCCTCTCCCCTTTGGCAAGCAAGGATGGTGAAGCATGGAGAGGAAAGTGACATTTGGATGAAAGAAACTTTGGGTCTGGCCAAGTTGCTGGAACAAAGCCCTCAACCCCATGCCTTACCTTTACAGTAGAGTTACAGTATCTGGCACAACCCTTGGTA